TGTTTTTATGTTTAATTCCAGAACTCAATTGAAAACATATTCGTTTTTTTTTAATAGGGGAAATTGAATATTGTTTGTAGCCAACTACTGGATTGTTTTGTGTAATTGAATAAAAAGTCAACAGGTATTTAAAAAACCTTTTTAATATACCTATGTTAGTTAAGATATATTATGGCTATCAGCTAGTTATGGACATAAATGATTATGTAATTAAAGGACTTGTTCAGGTTTTTTTCTAGTTTAAAATAATTTGTCAGTGGTTTTTCTTTTTGGATATAATGATATACACAAAGATGTTGGAATAATTATCATTGAAATATGATAAACTATACCTCCGATTATGTATATTAGTTTTAATGACTTTGGTTTTTAGCATCAATATGAAACGATAAAGTCGCCTATAATATAAAGAGATAGTTAAACTTTGACCATTTTCGTTTTTTTTCTATGCTCATAACACACTAAATTTTATCAACGAAAGCAGCTGCAGCGTATCATGACAAATCGTGATAAATGATATAAAAATAATTTTTCATAGTTTGTTATTATACTTATTAATTTTAGCTTCGATGCAAATTATGATAAGACTGTTTATTTTTGGATCCATATTATGTGTTGGTTTTTATGCCGTATACCGCCCCAAAATGTATTTTATATTACACAATTTTTTTAAAGGATCAGTAATGTTTTGCATATTGTTATACTGTTATTTATTTAAAGAGATTCACGCTTGATTGTTTAAACTATCTAATATTAGATTATCTGTTTCGTGCTAATTTTAATGTTTTAGTTTATCAACTTGCAGCTCTTTATACAATGTAATTAAGATTACATTGTATAAAATTAGTATGAAAAAAATATATTTTAATTTCTTACTAAACCCTATGAGATATTAAGTGGCTCATGATAAAAAAATCACCCTGTATTTTAATAATAATTATAAGTCATGAATGATAATACTTTATTTTATGACTAGATCAAATCTCGTGAACATTTAACTTTATGATACTGCTCCTATACTATTATTAAAAAAAAAACAATTTTTAAAATCTCCATAAAAGGTTATTGTTAAATAACAGGTAACAGCCGACCGCTAGTGGCTATAAACGTTAGCAATATCTAACTAATAAGTAAGATATGTTATAGTAATATACATATTATGTAGGTAACATTTATTGTTTTCTCCATCACCGTACCATTATACGATTTAATTTTAATTGAAATGTTAGCAACTCAATTTTTCTTTAGACAATAACAAGAAACTAATATACAGGGTGGGACAGTAAAACAGGCAATTTTCCAAAGTATTTAAATGGGAAAACCCGTTTCACTACCCTACCCTATACATTTTAAGGATCTATGAAAAGGTTTTTTTAGTTGCATTTTGTTTGGTACATTGTCAGTCTAGTAAAATAGAAGTACAATATAGCTTTGAAATAATATAATCAATGAAGTATAAATAGTTTGTGTGAGATTGCTCTAATGGAAGTATATAATACATAAATATTAATTTTATTGTGAATAAGTGATTATAATTTAAACTATGGAGTACAAACGATTGAAATATGAATCGTTGACAATTCCAACAAAATTTAACAAGACATTGTATATGTGTTATTGTTTTTTTTGTCCTGAGCCACTCAATATATCATAGGGTTTAATAAAAATTTAAATTTTGTTTTTTCATATTGTTTTTATACATTGTGATATCAATTTTTTACAACTTTTTTTGTTTATACCTCTCTCCCAACTTATTTTATTTTTGATAGAAACTTTTGAAACTTAAATGGTAACGTATATATTTGGTTCATTTTTTAAATTGAAAATAATGTACTAAAAATGTTGACTGGTCGATAACCAGTTTTGTACAACTTATTTTAAAGTTTTAAAATAAGAGTTTCAAAGTTAGATGGTAGAGGAAGTGCGGTTGGGAGATGCACGCAGATAAAAATACTTCTACACTCCACCTTTCCTCCTGCCCTAGTTTTGAAACTTCAACAACTCCAAAAATAGTTATCCAATAGTTATAGTAATAAGTAATTATAGTAAAAATATTTAATATATTATTTACAAGGAAGCATCAAAGCGTTTTTTTGAAAGTGATTTTATTCAATTTTAACACTTTTATTTATAATAATTCCTATAGACCTGCGACCCCTCCGTCCCCTCGTTGCTTTGATTCCATTATGCCTATACTCTACTGTACTAGTCCTCTTGTATAAAATCTCTTTCAAATTAACGCTTTGATGCTCATTTGTAAATACAAAACCTCAAATTAATACTTTCTAACTTTACTGGTTTATTATGATATTTATTCTCTGTATAATATATAAGTATCTATTGGATCACTAATTTTTATAATGGTACGTCTACAAATCAGTAATCAGTAAAATACTTCAAGATCTTTAATATACTAAATATTATGAAGAATCTAGTACAAAGACCATTATTACGTATTTTTGCATGTATCATTATAACTCATGTTTTATTTCATATCGACACGAATTTAAGGTAAATAAGACGCAAAAAAAATATTGCCAACTGTGTGTTTACACCGTTTATCGTTACCGTTTGTCTTTATCTTACTGTTTGTTATAATATACTAGCGCATTACATACACCGAAAATGCGGTGTATAAAATAAAACCTAACACATTATAAATTGGAAACCTAAATTTGGCCCTCAAATGTACTCAAATTTTCACAATTATTTTTGTTAAAACCGCCTCCCAATTTAGTTTTTTGATAGCAACTCTTAAAACTTAAACAATAACGTAATTATTTTATTAACTTTTTAAATTGAGAATATTGTGTTAAAAATTTTGACTGATCGATAAGCAGCTTCGGAAAATTATTTTTGAAGTTTTTGAAGTTTCAAGTTTATGGCAGGAGGAAAGGTGGAATATAGTATTATTTTTGTCTGCGCGCAATTTCCAACTGCACTTACTCTAACATCCTAACTTTAAAACTCTTATAACTTTATAAATAATTAGTCAACATTTTTAGTACATTATTCCCAATTTAAAAAGCTAATAAAATATATACTTTAACGTTTAAGTTTCAAAAGTTGCTATCGAAAAATCCAAGTTGGGAGGGGGATAAAAAAAAAAAATTGTGAAAAATTAAGATCACATTGTATAAAAACAATATCAAAAAAAAAAATTCACTTATAATTAAAACCCAGTGAGATATTGACTGGTTCATGATAAATGAATCACCTGTATGAAGTGGAATCACTTTTTGTAAATTTAAACTTTTAAAAATATTAAATAAATTTTGTAAGATATTCGATTGTATTAAATGTTGTTAGGGAGCCTAGCAATTATTTAAAATATTTGTGTGTAGTGAGTTGTTACGCAGTATTAGTGTATGTATACGTGTTCGTTTATTATTTGTAAGGGGCGTACATTTTTTTTTCTAAATAATTTTACTTAAGTCGTTACGTTTTAAAACGTTGTATATCATGGAATACTTGTCTACACAATACATGATAAACCTTGATGTTTGAAGTCGAGAAACACACCCTGTAAATGTTACACCCGTTATGTCATTAACAAATTCCTTACTGAAGTTTTTTTGATTTTTCAAAAGGTTTTAAATGAATATAAAAATTAAGTAGTAAAATGACCGGATATGGAAATATTTATGTGCCCTAAAATACAAATAAAATCAGTTTTTTTTAAACGAAAATTACAATTTTTGTATTACTATTTATTTATTTTACTTTTATTTTTAATTAAAATAAGTATTGATTATAAATTTTTTTTATATTTGGTACATACAATATCTATTCAAGTGTAGTTATCGATCAGTATTTTATTTTAACTTTATTATTATTTGTTGTTATACAATTTAAAAAAATTTCAATTGCAAACGTTAAATAGCTTGAGATATTATTAAAAGCGTAAGGGTTTGAATTTAATTCACGTATAAGGTTTCCATTTATATTATCTTTAAACCTGAGTTTTCCCTTAAAAATCTTTAGCTACTAATAAATTGTACAGAAATTTTGATCTGGACCACAAAGTATATCCGACAAAAAATCGTAATATATATATATATATATATATGCCATTTAATTGATATATTATTATCTACAAATACCCGTATAATAATGGGTTGATATTTACCCCTCGAGACATACTGTAACTACATTGCTATTTGCGTTTAATGACCTTTAGGTCCTTTACTTGTTTTTAACTACTGTATTTAAAACAGTCGTAGAATGAACATAAACTACTACTATTTGAGTAAAATTGTAGTTTTTGTCGATCATAGTGGAGTGATCATAGTGCCTCAAAACCCAAACTAGTAGATAACCAATTTACCAACTCTATCGATTCCCGATATCGGATTGCCCCAAAAGACATCTTCTCTCTGATAAACAACCGTATTCGCGGTTTCTAAGTAGATAGCCGATCGTCGGTGGCCGTTGCTAAGCAAACCAACAATCGACCAGGTTTTATTTTTTGTTGAATTTCGGTTTTTGAAGATTATTTTCTAAAAGCAACGAATAGCAATGAACTTGATTTTCACAAAATGCGTCTTCCTGTGAAAAATTCTTGACCGGCGAAGCTCCCTCCACCGTCATTGTTTCCAGACGTTAGCTGAACTCAAAAAATTGAAAATTACAATTGAGAACGCCATATATTCGCCAAAAAAACAAAAGTCCTAAGGAGCAAATATACTCACAACTAGTGTCGAATAGCTAAAAACGCCTACATAAATACCAATAGAATCTCTGCTTTGATGCTAAAAATAAACCGATAAGGACGTTCAATAGGGAATGGAAAATCTTTTTAATATTAATATATTCCCGAGAATGCGAGAGTCTTAAATAAGATGAATCACGCTGTATAGTACACAGTTATAAATATGAAACATAGTGTTTAATTTTTTTTGTTTAAATGTGACCACATAAAGTATAGCGGTAGTGTATGTAGGTGAAGTATTAGCACCTAATCTAACATTTATCTTTTAAATTTATGTTCATTAAAAGACGCAACCAGAAACGAACATTAACAGTACCAAATTTACGAAATTGATAGTTCATTTATACTTTTAACGATTAAGTTTCTATTTAAACCGAAAAAACTATTTATTTTTACATAGCTTTTGAAGAAGTACAATATATTATTGGGTAAGAAAATTTTTTTTTCAATTTTATTACAATATTACCAGAATTAAATTCTATTACATAAGTAGGGTAAAGAACCCATTGGTAAAGAATTAATGTAACTAATTATTACAACCGAAGGGTTTTATTTGTTTTTAAATTTAGTAGAATTCACAGTAAAAATTAAAACTTATTCCTAAAACAATTATTAATTTAAGGTAATATTTGTGTTTTACGTACTCCTCGAAAATGTTGTTAATAAATATGAAGATGTAAAACTTTTAAATTTCCTTTACGATAATTATTTCGATTCAAAAAGCATATTTTGGCTTCGTCCAAATTGAGTCTATTTCCAAAATCTTCACGAATTTTAATATTTAATTTTAAAAATGTTTAAAATTACTAAATAATTAAATAATATTGAATCATATTTTTGACTATGTCTAAATTACTAGTATTAAATATATTGTAAATAAGCATATTTTTACATTTAAAGTTTAGAATCGTTTTTATCGATACCGAAGAGTTTTGTTTGTTTTTAAATTAAATAATACCACATGAAGTATAGCTGTACTGTGCGTAGGTTAAGTATAAGCACCTAACCTAACGTTTTATATTTTACGTTTATATTTAATAAACACTCTCTAAAGACACTCTTGGATAGTGTAACACAAAACATTTAATGAATAAGGTTAATTAGGAAAAAGGGTGTTATGTTTAGGTTTATTTGGTTAAGTAGATGGAAGGTTTTGTGATGTGATGTTTTTTGGTGGTTACGTTAAGGTGTTCAAAATACATTTAATAATTAAAAACCATTTTATTTGTGTTATAAATTTGTTTACACATGTTAACACAAGGAGTTCAAGTTTAAAAAAAGAATAAAAATAATCGTTGACAAAAATATTGGTTTTATCAGTTATGCAACTGATAAAGACCAAGTAAATTTGACAACTGAGTGGATATCAGAAATAGTCGTCGAATCGAACACAATCCGACTGATCAAAAGGCCTTGTAGGGACAGTTTTCTGACTGAATATTAAAAAAATACTTGACGGACTATGAAGTCAAGTAGCTGTTGTGGTCGGATGACAGTCTTTTTATAAGTGTCTCTCGGAAATCGTTCTGTTCACTTGTTGGTGTAAGAAGGGGGGAAAGATCAGTCATAGTGAATGGGATTTTGTGGCTTACTCAATGCATATGCGTTTAGTTTTCTTTAAAATATTTGTGATATTACAAATTATATATGAATACAAACGTATTGTTCTATGCATACAGTTTTGTAAAACACTTATGATAAACAAATTCGATATTTATAATATATTAAAATACTACTAAAAAAAAAAAAAATAATAATAATAATATAAATTAAAACTTATAATTGTAAGACTAATGCCTTCTGTGTTCTATATCAGAGTTATTATTTAATTGGCCACTGTGTCTAATATGCTTCTAATTTATTGCAGTTAAATATGAAATTTGACTATTTTTTAATAGCATTTATCTTTGTAATCGGTTTAGAAGATGTTGGTAATAATTTCATCTTATACGTACCTAATACATATTTGAGATAGTGAAAATAAATAATCCTTATCGTTTTTTTATAGAACTGTACAAGTTTCAGGTTTACATAACAAGTGATTACATTTTTTTTACATACAAAATACTGTTACAAGTTTCAATATTATACATATATTTTAAAATAATTTATTACAGACTTATACATCAAACAGGCTAAGGAGCAAGGTATTATGTATACTGATATTTAATTGCTTCGTTTTTTTATCTTGATTATCAAATAATTTTTAAATTTAAAACTGGAATTAATCTGCTCAGCTAAGAATGCATGAAATATGTGTAGATAGTATCAATATTCCAAATATTATGTAAAAAATTAACAAAACAGATTTCATAACTTACATACCGTGACCGTGACTATTTACCTCAATAGGGAGAGTAGCGTTCAGTTAAATGGTCTATCCTGAAACATAATGTACTCTTATACTAAGGGTTTATCTACATAAGAAAATATTATTTAATATTTTACAATAGCTAATACCATTATTCATTGATTCTAGGTATATTTTATGCCGTAGTTCAACGTTATATTCAAAGTCTAAACACATCGATGGGTAGTTATAACAAAATAATATAGCAAAAAATTAAAATAAGTTATAGTAATATTTAAAAGTGATCTAATTGTAAAAGTAAATTACAGCAACAGATTATTTTTTTGGTAATTTTTCTGTGTTTAAAATCATACATTTTATTTCATGCTTTTCTTTAACTCACTAACACGTACGTACGTAGGTGCGTTTGTAACCTTTAATAGGACTAAAAAGTAAAAAAATAAATTTAAAAAAACTTTTTTAAAAACATGCTTTTCTAAAAAAAAAAAAAAATAGTAAAAGTGAACTAAAAAGAAAAAATAATTTTATTACAAAAACAATTTACCAATTAACTGTAGCATATTTTATTTTTAAATGTCAGTTACTTTAAAAACAACCGAAAATTAACTACAGTTTAAAATAATTTTAAACATATTTAATTTTTGACTAAAAAGAAAAGCGTGGGCCTTATTCAACAAAGTCCCTAATCAATTTATCAAATAATGTTTTATATTGTTAGTTCTTTTGTAATTTAAATTTAGTTTAATATTTGTGTGTGACACATACATTTCATAATACTTAACTCATTAAATTTGGACTTTGTTGAATAGGGCCCACGCTTTTCTTTTTAGTCAAAAATTAAAGATGTTAACCCTTATTTAAAATTTTAATTAATTTTCGGTTGTTTTCAAAGTAATTGTCATTTTAAATAAAATAATAGGTAAAATGTTCTTGTAATAAAATTATTTTTATTTAATTTTTTGTTCACTTTTTACTATTTTTTTTTTTAGAAAAGCATGTTTTTAAAAATAGAATTGGAATCTTTCAATGTAATTTTTAATACACATGTATAATCTTACCCTGTCTACTAATTTTCTAATAGAATAGAAAACTACATTCGATATAGTTTTTAATAGACCAATTATTTTATTTTCAGAAGAACTGTCCCTTATATTTGCTGTACCAGGTAAAATTATTTCCTACCTTATAGAGACGAATTTCACAATTATTTCTCATTCATTACATATAAAATGTTTTCTTTTTAATTTCAGATAAAGCAAACTACCGTCGTCACCCACAGTGTAATTTCCTTTAAATACTTCATTATATAATACTTTACACAGACCCATGTTTGAATCATATAATATTATTATATTATCTGTCAAAATGAGTCCAAATCAATATCTTTGAATATATTATACATCTGTACTTTATTCATATTTTATTTATAAATAAGTTATAATATATACATACATAATAAATATTCATATACTTGCATAATATTTGGATATTTATTTTAAGTATGCGTGGACAGAGAGATTCGAGTTGGAAACTTAATATACGCAGTATTAGTGGTAAGTATAAAATTAACATTTATATACGAATAAAAGAATATTTTATATTTTTTCGATATTAATAATTACTTAGCTACCAAAAAAAAAGTATAATTAAAATTGCATTTAAGTCCAAAGTTATTAACGCGGCTTCTAATGTTTTTTTAAGTTGTACAATACTTGCCTACATTTCTTAAATAAATCTAAACAATCTCATTTTTAAATTAACTATTATAAAGATATTTTTTTTATTGACTGTATTATTATTATATATTTTCTTATAGACTTTAACCTACTTCGAAATACGAATCTAAGTATAGAACAAATTCTAGAACTAGTTCATGATGTATCTAATGTATTCCCTAATGCAGATGAAGGTAATTATAAATTTATTCGATAATTGTAAATTGTTTTAAGGGTAGGATTAGTTAACGAATGTGTATAGGTTATCGATGTATTTCAATTGATTTCTCGAAATTTGTTTCAATCTCTATCATTTAAGAATAAATAGGGACACTTTTGTCCATAGTTTTTTATGTGAACACATTATAACTTTGCTGAAGAAGGTATGACTTATAGTCGAAATTTTAGTGCGACATCTATTTCCGTTTCACGTTGCTGTTTCAATTATTGTCTAAAAAACAATAGATTTTTATTTGTACTTTGATTACATTATGTTAATTTTATCAAATTTGCGACAATATTTATAGGTACTGCTCAATTCCTTACTATAACAAAATGTACTATAGACATTGGAACTGTTTTAATCGAAAATATAATAAAAACAATTTTTTTTTTTAAATAGCTTTTGTCTACTGATTTATTCATGAAAATCAACTTGGAAATTTAATAAGCCCAACGTTTAAGAACTCTGCTTTTTTAAGTTTTCAAATATTTTTTAGGAATTTTTGTATATTATAGCCCCCACTGGCCCCACCATCACTATAGTTTTTTGACTAAGTGTCCCAAGTTATGCTTTTACATTAGTTCTTTGGATCTCAAGTATATAAAGATTACTTTCTTCTAGTTGCAGGGCTAATGGCAGATAATAGAACAAATTTAAATAATTCTTAGAAGTGTAATTACATTAAGAGGACCAAATTTGTTTGTAATTTAGTGTTTGTTATTGAAACTGTAATTTCTAATTTTTTACAGAACAAACTGAATATTCATTGTCAGAACTTGGATTTGCCAGAAGACAAGAAACTAGAAATACTATACGTTCTTCAATTATAACTTTTAGTAAGTAATTGATTAAAAAAACATTTTAGTAATCATATATGTTCAGTTACTTTTTATAACTAATCTTAAAGCCATATAAAAATGTCAGTAGAATCATACTGGAAGATACTGGATACATATTGGAATTATGTGTTATTATTTATAACAGCAAGACAATAATTTAGTATTTTTTTATAATAATACAAGTACCAGCATCCAATGGTGACATTATTTTTAGACTTTACTTTGAAATTAGTCTTTTAACTTTAATTGCCAAGGTATAAACACTATTGCGCTCTACGGTTTCTAATAGAATTAACAAATAAATATTTGTATAGAGTGTAATTTATTAAACTATAAATTATATTATATTTATTAAACATTTTTTTTTAATATATAAATATTGTAATATTTTTATTTTTTAAGGTGGCCCGACAGAAACAGTTAGTATTTTTATGTGTCGTAGAATAGGACTGATCAGAAGTATACTACACCCGGATTCATTTATAACAAATGCGGTGATGGAGGAGAACGACACATGTGTTCTAACTACAACTACAGACCCCGACAGTGTTTGGAAATACAGATATGTTGGCGGCGAAATTTGTCAAGTTGATATCAATGATGTCACCCGGTCAATAGAACCACTTGCTAATCAGATGGTGTGGTAATATAGATCACAAAGATCCTAGTTATATCGTACACAAAATTATATACTACATTTTAATACTTTTTAGAACTACATAATACTTGAAATACCACATTTACATACAAAACTTTAAATAAATTAAATATTCTTTACAATAAACAGTTTTATCACGGTTTTAAATACACTTGTTGTTTATGTATTGATTTCTATCGATATGAATTCCAAGTGCACTTTCGATTTGATAAGTTTTTGAAAATGATTTTCTTAATTTGACTTAATTTTAAATTCTGATCATCAGCAATCCTTTCCATCATTCACGAATTGTCATTTCTTTGACATTATTTATTCCTTGCAAACATTTTTCCGAATAAATTACAAACAAAATTATTTTATCGTCATCACGTAGCTTTACGGGTCTCGAATGTCCAACGCTACCTGTATAATTAAATATAAGATTCATTACAGACAATAAATGAAACGTCAATAGAAATAATTGTCACACAAAATTGTCCAGTTAGAGATAGGTCGTATAGTTTTAGGCAGAGATCTAAAAAAATATTCATTATTCTTAATTTTAGTTCAAATAGATTGTTTTTATGTTTAATTCCAGAAATCATTCGAAAAAATATTCGTTTTTTGTATAATGGGAAATTAAACTCTGTTCGTAGCCAACTACTGGGTTGCTTTGTGTAATTAAAAAAAAGTCAACAGGTACTTAAAAAACATTTTTAATATACCTATGTTAGTTAAGATATATTATGGCTATTAACTAGTTATGGAAATAAATGATTAAGTAATTAAAGGACTTGTTCAAGTTTTTTTCTTGTTAAATATTTGGTTATTGGTTTCTTTTTTGGATATAATGGTATGATTCATTAATACATTTTTTGTTATGCAATTTACGTGCTTGGTTTAAAAGGTGTAGGCGTTTTACACAAAGGTGTTTTTTATTGGAATAATTATTATAGAAATATTATTACCTCCGAACTAACTAAGTAACTATACCTCCGAATACGTATATTAGTTTTAATGACCTTGGTTTTTAGCATCAATATGAAACGATAATGTGGTGTATTATAAACAATGTTGTTGGATTTCAGTTATTCAGTAAAAATCATTATTTAATTAAAAAAACTACGCTTGTGTTCTAGTTAGTTATATTAGTTTTATTTAGAGTATGATGTACATAATAACATCCGCCGTATTCCAATAAGTATAGATTTGTTTTGAGTTTTTGAGACGCTTGTAAGTCGATTAACGTTAAATCATAATGTTATAATAATTTAATCAATAATCAGCAAAGTAATCATATGATATGATTATAATAATTATAGTTACTATAATATTATTATATTAACTCAATTGTAGCCATGGTTGGTGTTCACATTTTAACATGTATATGTTTCATCGCTGGGCGTCAGGTACTAAAATGTTTCGTCCGAAACCTAACGCTGGATGTCACACTCGGCTGCGGAGGAAGGAGGGGGGATGAGAGATAAGATATAAGATATTAGAGATAAGAGATTAAAAATCCTAGTTAGAAATAAAATAGAGATAATGTAAAGCTGTTGTAAAGGGATGAGAGGGGATGGGGATGGGCTTGAGGTCGGCAGCTTGCGTACGAGTCCGCAACCACTTGAGACATGTGTGAAATATATCTATAAAGATGTAAGGATTTATAAGGATATATAAAGATAGTCGACCAAACTAATTTTAATTTCATTTGTTTGCCGTATATGTCTGCTACGGTGTTTCTCGTTCCGACCATTTAACTTAAATGAATGGTTAAATTGATTCAAAATAACTAACCAAGTGAATGTTGTCAATAAATCAGCTAAGGCCAATTATTAAAAAACTACTAAAAAAAACTTTTGGCGAAAAGAAAATATTTTTAAATCAGAATATTAGAAACGTAGGTATACTAAAATTGACATTTACTCGGCCATAAGATATGTGCCTATGTATTCGCTTGTAGAGTGGAAACTTTTAGGTTAACTCATAAAATTACTGGTTATGACATAGGTTAGCGAAGCTAAAGCAGGGCAAATGACTCAATAAAAAAAAAACAGTTCAACGTTTAAGAATAAAATGGAATAAAGGCACCCGTGAACCTACTGACACTGAATGATTTGTTAATTCCAGCAGAGTACTGCTGGACATCTTAAGATGGCAAAGGTTTTTTAATTCATGATTGTTTTGATATAGATCGCCATAAACCAAGAATTATAATATATTCAACTGAAGATAACTTAAATTTAATGGCTAATTGTGACCATTGATATGTCAATGGAACTTTTTCAAGCTGTTCAAAATTATTTTAACAACTCTAAACTATTCGTGACAAACAATACAGCAATGTTTTACTTTCTATAAACCCTCGTCTCCCAAACAAATGTGTCGTAGATCCATTTATTACATCACGAATATCCGGTTAAAAAAACTAGTTTGGGGCTCATAAAAAAAATGTTTCAGCCATTAGCTAGACGCTGGAGTGTTTTCCTACATTTTGATTTTGAACTCTATTATATACATATGAATATAAAATCGTCTAGGAGAATGATCTATTTGATTTTTAATCAAAAAGCATGCCATATTTTAATTGCATGTATCTTATCAAAAATGGTATCGGCGCAATATGAATATTCTACACCATAGTGAACAATTTTGTAGATTGTAGCCTGTTATATATAATGTTGTCATATGAAAAATGTATTATCCTTGTGTGTGTTACACGAAGTCAGAAATAAGGATATAAGGATGGTCAAATTAATTTGTTAGGTAGGCCCTTACTTACTGGCGAACTACGGAAATTGATATATGAGAAATATTAAATAATAATAATCGTTGCCAGTAAATTGATTAAAGCCAGACATTTTAAAACTACTAATAAAAACGTTTGGCCAGAATACATAATTAAGACTATACTATCATCATATATCGCAAGGAGATTATAGAACGGAAATAATCATATAATTATCAGGACTTATCCATGTATTGATGTATCTGCGTGAAGGGTAGATATTCTTTAAGTTTTTTTTTTTGTATATAAAACAGTCTTAGAATGAACATAAACTACTACTATTTGAGAAATATTGTAGTTTTCGTCGATAAATCGGGCTTAGAGTAATCCTAGGGACCCAAAACGTTTTATATTTTACGGACGCACGCAAATTTTCAAAAAATACTTTCAAAAGCAAACACTGACAATACAAATAGAAAATCGATGGCTCATTTTTTACGTTGGACGCTTAAGTTCCTATTAAAACCGATAAAACCATTTAGTTTTACACAGATTTTTAAGAAGAACACTCGTATAATATATTACCAAGTAAGCATATTTTTACACTTTCAATACAATGTCGCTAAAGTTAAATTCTTTCATACTTTATTGTTTGACGAACTAACCAATCCGTTAGTAAGTTATCATTACAACTTATCCTAAACACCACTTTTATATTTTATCCCACCAACTTTCTTTGGTTTAGCTTTATGTTTCTATTACCGATGGTGCTAAACTCTTACCGAGTAAAAAAATTAATTAAAAACTTGAAACGAGTTTTAATTATTTAAAAAAAAAATTACGAATAAAAATGTTTTCATTATTCACTTTTCTTCAACAAAATAAAAAAATAACCATACATTCAGAGAAATAAATACATCATAACAATTCGTTTAAAATAATATAATTATTTTTTCATACTGGAGAATCACATCAAGAAACAACAATAATAATGAATTATATATTGTACTAAATCCGCCCACACATGTAATAATTTTGTCCATAACACCCAATTATTTATCAATACTGTCGTGGTCTTCGAACAGCCACATTGCCGCAGTAGAAATTCTAAAACACTACAGCCAGACGCAGTGTTAAAAATAAATGTTTTTTTAAAGTTATCGTTGTGGTATGGTTTTCAGCCAGCCACAGCCGTAGCGAAATTTGTAACTCTGTCGTGACCTATGAACATGTCACATCGCCGCAGAGATGAACCGACAATTTTTCAAATATTGTAGTGGTCAGGCCTTACCACAACAATACAATTTCTATGTCCTTTAATCGTCGCAGCCCTTGAAACAGCTGCATTGCCGCGATTCGTTTGTCAAATAAGTACCCAAAAGTCATCAAAATCGATTTCTCATTGCAAAATCTCTCATTATATAGGCAGTACTTACAATTCATTACAAAAAAAAAAAACAGTTTTGGCGTTGCCATTGTGAAGCTCCACTAAGAATTCTTCGAGAAACATTAACACTGATACTGTTTTTAGACAATATTTTTCTTTCATCACGAATAAAAACACTTTTGGCTCAGCCATTGCGAAGCTCCACAAAACATTACTTATTAAAAATTACAACTTATAAAAAATTATTATTTCAAGGTTATATTAATTGTCTTTTACGTATCTCCTCAAAAATGATCTCGATAAATAATTAGACAAATTTTTTTAAAAATCCCTTTGCCTTACAAACCTCTTAAAATATCCAAATTTTTCACAAACTTAAATACTTAATAGCTATATAAGTTCAGAAAATATTTTAGCGATGCCCGAATCAAATCTATGTCCAAACTTTTTAATTTATTTATAATTAATTTAAGTAGCCGTTACGAAGAACCTGAATATCTAAACAGAATTGAAATGAGACCATTCTATGTAGTCGATATTTTTTGATAAACCAAATAAACCAAAATGGTATTTACTCATATAAATCATACTTTGAAGCTTATACAAATTATTTGGTAATGTAATAGGGACAGTCAAAATTAATTAAAACCTCTTTTTTCAAAAATATTGCCTATATAAAACCTAACCGCATGCAACCTAATCCCCTTAAAGCACAGAGTTACAGGGTATTTGAACGGTGTCTACCTTCCTGTTTATCCTTTTTTCCAAAAAAACGCTATTTAAGCTACTAAACTATAAAAATGTTAAATAGTTTTACAATATAAAGCTAAGTAAAATTTGTTTGTTAAATATGTAAAAATATAACAAAATACCAAAAAGATAAAATTATTTTAGATTTCGGATTTGTTGAAATCCGAAAGCATTATATAGGCAAAGTTAAAAGTTTTTTTTAAACATTTTTATCAACACATTTTACTCAGGTACACATCTTTATATTGTAATAGTATTTAATATTTAAGTTTAATATCAATAAGTTTTTCAAGAGGCTTAAATAGCGTTTTTTTTAATTTTTGGATTCCCATTACTAATATATATTTGTACAGAGTGGCCCACAATGATTTGACAAACGAAATAACTTTTGTTCTAGTGAATATTTTTGATATATTTTTTTTTAATGATTTATACTCATTTGCGCTAAAAAAAAAATTTATAGTTTATTCTTGTTTGCGCTATAAGCACCGCGGTTTTTATTTCACTTACCTAATTTACTTTTTTAATTATTTTTTTATTACATTTATTTTTTTTTTTTTCAAGATTTTTTACCGAGTCAAGTTTTCTTGAAAAAAATTTAAAAATGCAATAAAAAAATTAAAAAAAAGTAAAACAGGTAAGTGCAATAAAAACCACGGTGCTTATGGCGCAAACGAGGATAAACTATAAATTATTTTGAAAAACAAAATCTCAAAAATATTCACTAGAACAAAGTTATTACATTTGTCAAATCATTGTGGGCTACCCTGTAAATATTTTGAATATAAAATGTTTTACACAGAATAAAGAAATCGATACAATGTTGAAATTACTGTGTACAGTAGCATTACTTTTCGTAGCGGTGAAAGCCAACGATGAAAAGACTATTCCGTATGCGTTTTTCGGATCTAGAACTACTTACAAGACAGTTTCATCATTGCATATTGATGTACCAGCTGGTAAGACGTATTTTATTTGTTCTTTTTGAGTACTTGACTTTTTTTTTTTCATTTAAAGTGCATGTGCTTATATCCGCTTATTTTTTTTGTCTGTATCCATATATCTGAATAGTATAGGACCAATATTTTCTTCGAGACGTAACCTGTATAAATCACAAATTGTATATAGTTAGTAGTGTAATGGTGGTGGGGGTGGGGGGGGGTATTAAAGGGGAAAAATACTCTCTTTTAAGCTTAAAATTGAGGAAATCCATACGATTTTTCCTATTCGACTTTGACGTGTTATTATTTCCAGAAAAATAGTCGGATCGAGTTGAAGTTTAAAAGGTGTATTGTTTTGACATGCCCCTGCGTGACAAAAGATTGAGATCTAAAATAATTATCGTCTTCCAGTCTCGCAATTAACGCCACTGAAGACAGTACATCGCACTACGACACAAACCAAATGTTATTTGTAGGGCCCCCGCCGTATTTATTAACATCAAACATTCATAATAGAGCATTTTAAGTCAATAATTCACATTTCTTATACGCTTCCGTATTACTACTCAAATATTTTTCTTAGACGACGAAGAGGGTTTTGGGAGATGTGATTTTTGTAGAGTTTGGAAATAAGTGGATTTTGGTGATTAAGGAGTTCGGAGTACAATCGTAGGTACGATAGTTTTGCTTGGTTGTATTTCATAAGGATGTTGGGAAATCAGGAAATGTTTGGAATGTTGTTTTATTTTAGTATGTCATATTTTTGCTGCGCCTCAAATTCTCGGCCTGTACCGCACAATTGGATTGATTTGAGTAAGAAGTCATACAAGTTAATTTTTGTGTTAAAATTGGATTTCTGTTGAAAAAAGAAGATGGAAAAAATGTGGGTTTCGAAGTAAAATTATTGGCATTACATTTTAACATGAGTTCCCCACGTTAAACGTCAGTCAAATTGTATGGCCGATGTGTGGACGAAGAGAAATGTGGTTTGAGTGGATATACATTAGCTCACTAAGATTCTCCAGGATTTATACCATTAATCTAGTTTGTCACATGTTGCTGTAGTTCATTTACTGCATTTATTTAAATGGTTTTCGTTTCATGCCATAAGAGTATTGTTGTCAGCGAATTAAGCTAGTGTAGTTTTTTCGCTTGATGGTTAATCAGCGGTAAATATAGGTCAAATAAAAGCTGCGAGGATATAGTTCCTTGTGGGACTCTTGCAATTATGTTTTTAGGCTGGAAAAAAATCGATCTAATTTTAAGTGAGAAATGACGTTTAGATACAAAATGTTAAAATAATAGGTATAACTGTGTAGAGAGGTATTTTATTTTTTTTTTTTTGATAGAAAGCAAACATGGATTACGCTAATCATGTTTTGTAGGTTATAGGGCACGTCAAGTTGTAATGTTGGCGAGGCATGGAACGAGAACTCCAAAGCTTAGCTATTCCAAAGATTTGCTACCGAAACTGGTAGAATTTCAAAAGAAAATTACCAAAAGTCCTACGTTAAGTGAAAAAGATTTCCAAGCCATAAAAAATTGGACAACAACCATCGACACCAAAAACTACAGACGTATAACACAGAATGGCCGTGATGAAATGAAAGAACTGGCAACAAGAGTTCGTGCAGCTTTTCCATATCTATTCGAACAGCATTACAACTCTAACAATTATGAAGTATATCACATCGTTCCCTGATTAACAATCACATGTAATATAAAAAGTTTTCAAATTTCATGCTACGGTAAAATAACTATTTTGTAAACCATAAAAATAATTTTAATAAAACCTTAATGGAGTTTAATAACAAGACGTTATATTTAATATATTTAAAAATCAAATATTCAAAATAGCCGCAAGTTTATCTTAAACTGTTTGTCGCCAGCGAGGGAAGTGTATTATAATCTTTTACTTTCAAAAAGTCACCTCTTAAAGTTAATTTTTGAAATTATATATTTTTTACCGTGGATATTGAGTTAAATTTTCAATTGATAATGAAATCTGGATTGTATTTACGACTTTTTTTAGCTAAATTTGTTATTTCTTAGAAAAAATTACTGTAGCGTGAAATTGAAACAACCCTGTAAATTTATACAAATATTTCAAATTATATTTGAACATTTTAGGTTTTGACCATGAAGGATTCACGTTGTGTTAATTCAAGTCTATCATTTATACAAAGCTTATTTGAAGATAAAAAAATCACCGAAATTCCTAAATGTGAGCCTACGGATCTCCTTCTAATGGTACGTTTGAAATTGTCGCGGTTTCCTTTGCATTATTTCTAAGTAAATCTTATTTAAATTATATACAGTTAGATAGTATGGAAAAAAACGATACGAAACGTAAAGAGTTTCAAACATATATTGAGAATCAGGCGAAAGAATTCAAGGAAAGCCATCATATGGATGGTGTCTTGAAAAGGGTTGCGGCCAAATTGGGCGTAGATTCTAAAGAACTTGACCCTGGTAAGCTAACTAACAACCAAAAGCAACGTAGTTTCAATGGTTTTATACTATTTTGTTTTGTAGAGATCATAAACACAATGTACGATGCCTGTGCCTACGAATATTCTATTGACCAAAATAGGATTCCGCCGTGGTACAAAGCATTCACCCAAAAAGACCTTGAAGTAAGCTATGGTAGTAGACAAGTGATTTCCACGAACTATTAACATTTGATAATTTTGAAATGGCTATAGATTTTGGAGTACGCATGGGAACTTTCTTGGTACTATATAATTGGTTATGGAAATCCTTATAACAAAAAACTCGCTTGTCCGATGGCCATACGTCTCGAAGAATTGCTTAGGTAATATACATTTTCAACACTATGTATTTACTTATAAAGTTTTTAATTTTAGAGAATAATTTTCGTGTTGGACCACTGCATATTTTAAATTAGTAAAATCTATATCCTTTAATTTTGAAAGTTTCGAAGAGCATTATGGCTTTAAGCGATTATTTCCAAAAAATTCTATCTCTACATTTAATTTTAATTTTAAGAAGGATTGTGATATTAACTCATAGTCGTCCAAACTTCATTAAGAACATCTAGTTTGTTTTGTTTGTTTTTTTTAATTTGAAGCGAAAAATAAAGACCACTCTAAAATATAATATTGACATTTTTTAATGACCTGGTGCATAGATGTGACAGTAGTATGATTTCAGAAAAAAAACTAATGAAGAAGGACCAGATGCTGTATTCTACTTTGCATGCGAGAAAAACATAATGACTATGCTCTTCATGTTAGGCCTAGCCGACGGTGACGATCCATTTACGGCATCCAACTACAAAGGTATAGAAGGCCTTAATTGGAGAACTTCTTTGTACGGTGTATGGGCTGCAAATTTTATGGCTGTACTATTCGAAAACGCTAATAGTGAATACGAAGTAGCATTTTATTTCAACGAAAATTTAACAACTATAACTTTAAAAAATGGTACAAAGTGTACATACTGTCCGTTGTTGGGTATTCAAGAAAAGTTAACAGCCTTTATATCCGACAATGACTGTGTCAATTTTGTAGCTGATAATATCTTAAAAATCACTCAAGAAACAAATCAATACTGGTATTTAAGCACGAAAACCGCTTACAAATTGGTTTCTGCAAAAGAAATCTTTGTACCGCCTAGTAAGTAATAGCACCATTCTTATTGCTGGATTTGTATATTATATTCTTCGATGATACGATTTAAAGTAAAAAATTCAATATTTATAAACAGATATTATCATACAATATTTATTTGTTTTATTTATAATTACTTTAAATTTTACTTTACTAATAGCTTATTAAATCTATTTTTGTTAATAACTTAACAAGTCTTTGTTAAAATAAAATACGTTATTTTTGTTTTATAGATCATAAACCAATTCAGATTTTTACTGTAAACAGTCACGGTACGCAACCTTTAACACGTAGCTTTACTACAAGTGTGTTAAATTCGCTTGAGATCTTAAAAGGAAAAATCGGTGAAAATGCGAAAATGACCCCACCGGAAATTCAAGCTATTATGAATTGGCAACAAAGTATTAAAAACAAGCTAAACAATAAAAATTTGATCCCAAAAGGTCATGTTGAAATAAAGGAATTGGCTTTGAGAGTTCGGAAAGCATTCTCAGATTTATTTAAACAGTCAGACAACTATAAAGTACATTGAATAACAATATCACAATAATTTACAATATAATTAAACGCCAATACATTATATTGGTTTAAAATTTTAGGCATTGACAATAGGAGAAGATCGTTGTAAAGAAACTGGAATACTGTTTCTACAAAATGTTTATGGTAATACAAATATTGCCGACGTTTCCAAATGTAATGACGATGACTTCTTTTTAACGGTAACCATATTAAAATATAAATATTTACATTGTTTTTAACCCGAAGATTGTTGTTGATTTAGATTGAAAAGATTAAAAAACGAAAACACGAGGATGAAAAAGAGCTCGAAAGTAAAGAATTCAAAAAAAGCTATTTTATGAATAAAGTTGTTGATAGAGTTAAAGTTAAAATGGGAGCTAACGATATTACTTTAGGTACGTAAAACGAAAAATATACAATATAGACAATATAGACCTGTAACTAACTTGCCTATCTATTAGATGATGTAAACATTATCTATGAAGCATGTCGCGACGAAAGGTTATCTGATGACGAATCGCTTCCCCCTTGGTGTATTGTATTCTGTAAAGAAGACTTAGAAGTAAGCATTGCAGCGTGGGGTTTTATTTTAAATAGATTTAACAATTTTTTATAATTTTGAAATGATCATAGGTTTTGGAATATTATGAGGAACTGCAACTGTACTATGCTTATGGATACGGAAATCCGTCCAATGTGAAACTCGCATGTCCAATGGCTGTTCAACTGCTGAAAACTTTGGAGTAATATGAACTGATTAGTTTATTAATTTTTACATACAACTTTTGTATAAAAATTAATTAAATGAAATATTGGTCACATAACCAGAGTACTGCAACAACATTTATCCGAATAACGAATAAAAATATAATACATTTATTCGAATAACTCCGCGGTTAAGAGCCAAAAGATATGTGTAAAATTGCAATTTTGAGGTTTTACATGTAATGCGTGTATACTGTGTATATTATCTTGTGTCAACTTATGGTGTCTGTAGATTTAATATCAAATGAGATATTTGAAAATATATTAAAATTGAATTTTTTATAGAATTAAATATATAGTACACTACTTGTGTCGAGATGCCGTCCGGGTAGACAAACTAGCCAGCCGTTTCCGATTCGCAAACTAGTGCACCCGTTGTGTTGACTTTTACTCCTCTTCTCTATACTATATATTTCATAGAACTGGTGATCTATAGTGATGGAACTTGAAGAAATTGGTCCAGTATTAAACAAGTTATAGTGGGTACAGGCACAATAAATACGCACGTCCTCATCGGACCCAAAAATATTCCAATAATAGCCTACTCTGGATAATATATAACCATATTGTGTTGACTGCTCTTAAAGAATATTTTCCTTGTTTTTTTAAATATCTATTGTACGATTTATGGTTTCAGAGAAAAAATTAATAAAAACAAAGGACCCGATGGTTTATTTCACTTTGCAAACACGACTAACATTTTGAGCTTACACGTCATGTTGGGTTTGGGCAAAGACCACAGTCCACTCACGGCATCGAACTTTATTGAAAAGAAAAATCGCCAATGGAGGAGTTCCATGTTCAGCCCGTCGGCTGCAAATTTTATGCCGTACTTTTCAAAAACGCTAATAATGATTATGTAGTAGCATTTTATATCAACGAACGTATTACAAGGATACCTTTAGGAAACGGTTCGTCTTGTACAGAATGCCAGTGGTCAGATATTCAAAACAAGTTACAAGCATACATAAGCGACAATGACTGTGTTCACTTTATAGCTGACTACAATAATTAAACAGCCGGACCATTTTTATTTTGATCAGTTTTTATTCAATAATTATTTTACATATTTTTAAGTATTTACAGTGGTGTATTATAAACAATATCGTTTGAATTCAGTTATTCAGTAAAAGTTGTCATTTAATTAAATAAATTACTGTTGTGTTAATTAGTTTTATTTTTATTATTTATACTATCATTTACATAATATTATTCGTCTTATTCGTAGTAATGTGTAGATTGATTAAAGTCTTAGACAATTGTAACCCGATTAATGTTAGATAGTCAGATATGTAGCCATGGTTATTCTATAGTACCAATTACATAGAATTGTTGTTTTATAAAGGTGGAACTTGAAAAAATTGGTCCAGTATTAAAAAAGCCATAGTGGGTACAGGCACAATAAATACACACATCATTATACCTAATACCAATGACTTCGAGACCTCGCATCGGACCCAAAAATATTCCAATAATAGCCTACTCTGGATAATATATAACCACGTGTATTGATTGTGCTCATTAATTTATGAATATTTTCCTTGTTTTATAAATAGCTATTGTATAATTTATGATTTCAGAAAAAAAATAAATAAAAAAGAAGGACCCGATGGTTTGTTTCACTTTGCAAACCGGACTGACATTTTGAGCTTACACGTCATGTTGGTTTGGGCAAAGACAACAGTCCACTCACGGCATCGAACTTTATTGAAAAGAAAAATCGCCAATGGAGGAGTTCCATGTTCAGCCCGTCGGCTGCAAATTTTATGGCCGTACTTTTTGAAAACGCTAATAATGATTATGTAGTAGCATTTTATATCAACGAACGTATTACAAGGATACCTTTAGGAAACGGTTCGTCTTGTACAGAATGCCAGTGGTCAGATATTCAAAACAAGTTACAAGCATACATAAGCGACAATGACTGTGTTAATTTAATAGCTGAATACGATAATAAAACATCCTGTCTATTTGTTTTGGCCAGTTTTTATTCAATAATTTTTTTAAATTTTTTAAGTATTTACAGTGGTGTATTTGTTTGAATTCAGTTATTCAGTAAAATTATCGTTTAATTAAATAAATTACTGTTGTGTTGATTAATTTTATTTTTATATTATTTATACTATCATGTACATAATATTATTCGTCTTATTCGTAGTAATGTGAAGATTGACAGACAATCTTAGACAATTGTAACCCGATTAATGTTAGATAGTCAGATATGTAGCCATTGTTATTGATTACATATATGATTACAAATTAATCCATTATTATTATATAAACATAAAAAAAATTTTTTGCTAAAAGTACTTTTCAAAGGCCAAAGTTGTATATAATTGAATCTTTTCATGCAAAAAGGGCTCAAGACATCATTTGATCAAAAACGTGATTATTACAGATTCGTTATCACATTACTTAGACTTCGATTCATGTTTAAAAAAAAAATTGGTCCCATTACCAGAAGTTACTAAGAAAATAATCGATTTTTGTAAAAAGGGTCTAAGTCCACTATATTAGAAAGCTAATACTCTGGACAGCATTTTAAAAAAATAATATGTTTTACAGAGTGTAATTTTACTGTTTAATATCTAATAATTTTGATAAAGCCTTTATATGTTTATGCATTTTGAAATATATCAAACGTTTTTTTTTCATTTTTCCAAAAGTTTAAAGTTAAGGACTAAAGCCCTTTTTGCATGAAGCGATTCAATTATTATGTATGGTAGATCTAACGTTATAGTTATTCCCGTGAATACATTTTACAACATTCTAAATTAAATAATATTCAGCTATAGTTATAAAATATTATTTCAATCAAGCTGTACCAATAGACAAAAAATGATTATCACTTAACCTACAAACAACACGAATTTATCATGGTTTGTTAATTCAGTCGTGGTTTAAAAATGAATCGTGGAAAGGTAAACAGGTAATTTAATAATGATTCAAAAATAGCTAATGGATACAAAACAATCGTGTTCATGATTAAATGAACAAATTATTGAATAACGGAACAATAAGGAATTTTAGCTTCGAAGTTAGTTCTGTAATGATGTACGTTTTTTTTTTTGTGTCAGAAAACAATTTTTTAATTCTTCTAAACCGATTTACTCAAGAAGCACCTATATAATATGTAGATTGTTACTTTGATTGGTCTAGGGTGAAAAAGTTTATTTATTCTAACTCAAAACCTGGAAAAACCAAAGAAATGGTCGGTTTTTTAACTTTCAACTTATAACTTAGTGAAAACCGTAGAATCGAATCAATAATTAAAAAAATATTTATTTGGTATTTCCCTGTCCATAATTAATCTAATCGATAACCCTCCTCGCCCTGCACACAGAGGTGGAAATATTTTTTCATTTAACCGACAAAGTTTCAGTGTCTATTTACACAAGGTGATTCTTTTATCACGAACCACACAATATCTCATAGGGTTTAATAAGAGATTACAATTTTTTTTTAGTATTGTTTTTATACAACGTGATCTCAATTTTTCAAATTTCATTTGAAAGGTGGAGTGTAGTATTATTTTTATCTGCGCGTATTTCCCAACCGCACTTCTCCTCACATCTTGAAAGTTTTTAGTTTTTAGTTTTATAAATAATGTTGTCTAAAGTTTTTTTTTTTTTGTTTTAAAAAACATAATAGGTACATGTTTGATCTTGTTCAGACTTATTTTCAGCCCTTAAATCTGTAAAGGGTACATTCGGACACCCGTTACCACTAGCCCTAAATATACTTACTGAGCACTTGTCAATAAGGTAATATGTAAACTAACTACACAATATATATAATATATTGTGTAGTTAGTTTACTTTAATTTTTCAAGATTTACAATAATATGAAGATACCACATTTTAATAATTTGACGGTCAATGTACTTTTCATTTGTTTATTTACAAAGCCTCGAAAACTGGTTCATTGGCCAAGCTATAGTTATTTTTTTTTTAATTTATTAGCCTGAAACTACTTTAGTACAACTTCAGAAACATACTATGCTAGACTCGCATTAGATATATTATTACTCATATTATATGAGTAGTGAGAACTATATAAATATACAACACTATTTTTTTTATATTATACGAGCTTATCGTAAACCACTCAACCACTCAACTGGGTTTAATTAATAATTACAATATTTTTTTCCATAATGTTTGTATACAATGTGATCTCAATTTCTCATAATTCGTTTGATTTTACCCCCCTCCCAACTGAGTTTTTCTGATGGTAACTTTTGAAACCTAAATGGTAACGCATAAAATTCATTAAATTTTTAAATTAAGAATTATGTACTCAGAATTTTCACTGGTCGATAACCGTTTTTGGATAACTATTTTTGAAGTTAATGAAGTTTCAAGTTCAGAGGATCAAAGGTAATGATCATACAACTATTCAGTGTTTTAAAATTCTATTTAAATGATTTATTATAAATAATAATAATTATTTTTTTAATAATCAATTTTAGTTTTTATGTAACTGTGTTAACAAAGATGTATCATATTTATAATATATAGTTGCTGGTCGATATTTGTTTTACAACACAACGGCGGTGTTAAAATGTCAATATTATGAAAAAAATTTCAAAATCTTATACCTAATTATCTATTTATTTCAAAATTTTATTAAGTATAATAATATTATGGAGAATTCAAACATCGTGGCAAAAACGGCAAATGGGGCAACAATACTGAGTTTCCAGGAGTAATTTTTTGGTAATTAAAATAGCAAAGATGCCCAAATAAAGGTATGTACTATGTAATTTATTATATATAGCTGCTTGTGTACCCAAAATGCATGCTTCTTGCATAGTCAGTTGTATGTCACCTGACGGAAAACCATTAGCTCTGTTTGTTTACGCGTCAGAAAACAAAACGAAAAATATCATGTATCATAAAGCATTGCAATAATTAGTATGGTGATAGCAAAGTACACGGTATAATTAACCCGGGCAGAAATGTTTTTTTAAAGTGTA